TGCAGAAAGCGGTAAGATTTTGGCCCCAAGAATCTTCCACATTTCCTTTCTTGTACTCCATGGAGTAGTTTTTTCTTTTTGCGCTCATGTCTAGGGGTGAAAAAAAAATGGGGTATCAGGGTGGGAGCAGGGGGATCACTTAAAATGACACAGGAGGATCACGGGGGAATCAAAATGACACAGGAGAATCAGAGGGGGGAGGGTTTACCATTTTGTAACCCCTTCTGATCCTCCTGTGTCATTTTAAGTGTATTAGGTCTGTGCCATTTTAAGTGATCCCCCCTCCCCCCACCCCTATGCCAGTGGACACCTTCATCAGACATCTCCCCACACCCCTTTATCAGACATTTCCCCCCTACCTCAGTCACCCCTGTGTGTCCACACAATGTATTCTACTCCTGCCCCGTGCGACTCACTGTCTAATTGTGAGTCAGCCAGACTCCGTCAGGGCAGAGCGAGTAGCAGGCAGCAGCTAGTCCTGGCAGCGGCTCCGGGTCTCTGATTAAAAGAGACCTTGCACTTCCTGTCTGCTCTGGCTGCACTGCAGCCAACAGTGAGCTGCGTGGCGGCGCCTGCTGCTACGGTCCTGAGTCCAGAGTTATGGTAGCTTTGGGGGGGCCTTATTACCAGGGAGGTCTTGTTTTTGGGGGAATGCCTTATATTTCAGCAAGAGGCAAAACTGTAAGTAGGTCTTATTTTCGGGGAAACATGGTAGCTTGTAGTTCGTTCTTTGTATTTCTTCCTGTCAGCCACTGGGGGGTGCTGCCAACCCACATTGACTTAGGCCCTAACTTCTGAGATTTCCCTGGGTGACAAGTGGTGTGATTTCGGAGCCCACCATTTACGGAGGAGACGGGCTTGGATTTTCAGGGGTTGTCTTTCTGTCAGGAAAGCTGCTTGTGGCCTTCTTTGCTGCCCTTTTTTGAATGGTGGGTTCTTTTCATTAAAAAATAATAATACAAATTTTATTGGGGGCTCTTATAGCTCTTAACACCATCCATCCATCCATCCATTGTATCAAGCACATTTGCTGCCAGCATCATTTTCAAAGCATTTTCTTTCTACTTGAGTCCTAGGTATCAGCTCATTTCTCCCCTCCCCCTCCCACCCTCATGAACCCTGGATAATTTACACATGATTATCTTTTTTCATGTGGAAGGTTCTTTTTTCTACACCCCTCGCTGAGGGCAGGGCCCTTTGCTGCCTCCATGACGACGACGGCGAGGACCAGGCGGTGTTTGGTTCCGTCACTCGGAGTCACAGCGCCATCCTGGCCGTCGTTTCCTGTCGTGGCCATCTAAGAATTGACGGCGTCTTTGGTGTAGGGCCCTGGCGGTTGGCTCCATGCTGGGCTGTTACCCACAGGGTCTGTACTTGGACTCCTCGGCGGGAGATGAAGCTGTCCGCTCTCTGAAGGCTTACTCTCCGCCACGGACACCCACAGGGCAGCTCTGCTCTGCTCCGTAGGGTCGCTCCGAGTTGGAGTCCACTCCCTGGCAGCGGGTGTGCTTTTGACTCAGCAGAAAGTGGCATTACTGTTGTTGTAACCGTATACTTTGTGATGACTGGCGGTGCAAGTTCTCAGGGTACCACAGTTTTTGTTTTTTTCTTTAACACTAATCTGAGGGTCTTGATTTCATGTCATTTAAAAATCTCATTAAGCTTTTATTTCACGTAGGATTTTTAAGAGGGCTTTCAAACATCCATAGGAAAGACCCATTATATTGTCGTTGTTTTCCACACTTGACTCTTGGTGTGGGTGTACAGTTTGGCCTTGAAGTGAAGTTCCTAGTAATAAAGAGGAGTGAATTTGGACTATTAATACCCCTCCCCCCGGGCTGGTCGTTTAGGCCCAGGCCAGGCCATCTTTGTTGGATTGTTCTGTGTCCTCGTAGTCCCGCCCGAGCTGCACTTTCACAAGCCTCGCATTGACTGGCCGCGAGTGGACTCTCTGAGGATCTCCCTGCTCGGTGGCCCGAGGGCTCGTGGGCCCTGTCTGAGGATGGTGCTGACAGTGTGCTGGCGTGCCGTGTTGGTTCAGTGGTGTTGAGCACTTGACCTCAGAAAGGGACCACTGTGAACTCTTGGACTACTGTAAGCTTGCCAAGTTCCCTAAGGTGTCTGTTTTTCTTTGCAGAAAATTCCAGTATAAATTCGATCACTGAGAAAAACCCTCTCAGGACGGTGCCAGCTTGTTCCTGTGGTGGGTGACACAAAAGGGATTCATCGACGGTTTCTTTTTCACCCCGTATCTCACACTCCGATCCTAACCTTCGCTGAGAATCAGAGAGAAGAGGGGGAGCGTGGGAGCCGCCATGGGACAGCGGAGATGAGAAGATGTGATCAGAAACACAAGGGAACTCAAGAGCTCCTCGGATGATTGTAGCTGCCCAGCAGTGCAAATCACGTGCCTTGGCGCACACGCTGTAGCATGCAGACAGTCCCTCTGGTCAACTCTCGTCCTCGGGCAGGTCAGCTCGAGTTTTAATGAATGCAGTATATTCTTTTTATTCAAGTGGTAGACTGGCTGAGACATTATGGTAATGTGATTTTTAAAAAATAAACAACTGATGTCCTTCCTGAAATGTGAATCGCAGTGCTGAGCTGCTTTGACACAGGGTGGCGAGCCCCTGCAGGCCCTGAAGTGTCACCTTCTCCACAGCTGCCCCAAGGTCCTTTGCCTTGGGACAGCATCCTCTGCAGGCCCCTTGCTGCCAGAATCACGGTAGAGGGCTTTTCTTTGGTCTCATGGTTTGGGGGATCGTTTTGTTTTTGCTCCTGTTTTAATTTCACTTATACCACAGTGTGTGTGTGCGTTGTATGCGTCTGGACCGTGCAGCTGCTTCATGCAAACACTGCCCTGGACCCATTCCCTTGGTTTTACAATGAATTCAGATGCTTACCATATTTCCCTAATCCTAAACAGGAACTCCGGCTCTCTTCTTTCCTGATGTAGTAGGAACATTGTCACTGTTGACATGGTTCTCATGGAACATGGATTTTTTGCAAACACATAGGATACACATTTCTCGTGTATGTATTCCAATGAGTGTGAATAAAACGATAACATCAAGGGATTTTTTTAAAACGGCAAACGTGTCATTCGCTTGTCTTCCTTAAGATATTCACTCGCTTTTCATCAGCAGTTAACCTACCCAGTGAGTAGTTAACTCACACTATAGCATTTGTTTGCACACAGTAAGAAGATTAGAACAGTGGTGTTTATAGCTGCAGTGGACCCCAGACATCTTACAAAGGGGTACCCCCCAAAACCCAGAATTTCCACACACACCCAAGTTATGTATTTAAATTTTTTTACAAAACACCCTTATCACCGTCAAGGTACCTTCCATTACACTTAATACATTTGTTAAATCTGCGACTCCATTCTTGGAGACACTTCAAACTCGTCTGTTTGGATGGCTGGCAGCACCTCCCTCGTTTTTTTCTTCACCTCTTCTGTGTCATCAAGTCGCTGCCCTCTCATGCCCCTCTTCATTCACAGGAAACAAGTCATTCACACAGAGTGAGGTCTGGTGAGTAAGGTGTGTGGGGCAAGAGAGGCGTGCTGTTTTTGCCAAAAACTGGTGCACTGACATGGCTGTGTGAGCAGGTGCATTGTCGCGTCAAAACCAGTCACCTGGGTGCCACAAATCAGGCCCGTTTTTGTCGCACACTGTTACTCAATCTTTTCAGAACCTCTAGATAGCTTGATTAACAGTCTGACCTGGTGGAATGAACTCCAAATACATGATGAGTCGACATTTTTAATCTTTGGGGGCAAGTTGAGCGACGTCCAGAACGAGGTTTGTCATCAGTGGATGTTTCACCTTTTTAAAAACAAAACCACTCGTACACCTGAGTTTTCCCCATAGCACTGTCCTTGTAAGCGGTGTTCAACATCACAACAGTTTGTGCGGCCATTTTCCTTAGCAGAAAACAAAACTTCACAGCCGCACACTGTCCTCTTAATCAGCCATCACAAAAAATGCGATTCGAGTTGAGCGGCTTTTGCGAAAAAAATTCGCTGCGACCAGAGAGAACCTTCCTAGACGATGCCTCCAGGTGCACTAACTCAGAGCAAGATGTTTGATGCTCGCCTAGTGGGAAAAACGCATACTACGAAAGCTCTGCCCAGCGCAATTCCATTTTTTGGGGGGGGTACCCCTTGTATATGCTCCAGCCACCTCATGGTACGGTGCAGGGTAGGACTCCAACATATGCCCTTCCACACCCGCAGCGTGCAGCGGCTGCAGGGCAGTTGTGCGGATGGACCTCCCGAGGCCTGCCTTGCTCCACGACCCCCACCGCTGCCCAGGCAGTTTTCACTGGCCTTCCCGGTACTGGAGAAAGGATTCAGGCTGCTTTGAATACGGCCCATTTGTATTGATCTGCTCCCCCTTGGATTTGTTGGTGCCGTGCAGCCTGTGTTTGCTGAGGAGCAGGCAGAATAGCAGGGCCCCTGAGTCCATTTCCAGGGGACGGATGTGTCAGGGTTCTTGAAGCTTTAGTCTAACCCTGGAGGATTTTCTAGGGACTCTGTCCATAGGGAGGCCCCTTTCTTTCAGCAACACACCGGTCCTGGGGGCCTTGTGGGCAGGGCAGTCTGTGCTGACCAGCTTATGTTCACGTCTGACCACCATCACCAACCAGTCTTGTGCAGACTAAGGCTTTTGTCCATTCTTTGTGCAATAAATGAATCTGGACACCAAAACCACATTCTTATGCTTGGACGAGACCTTGGAAGGCCATCCAGGTCAACGGTTTGAAAACAAAAAAGCTTCGGAGTCCTTTTGTGAAATGAAACCTTTCACCAAATTCTGAGATCTGAAATGGATGAGCTGGTAGCTACTGAAAAGCCTGGCTGCCCTTTCTTGCCTGGAAGGACCCGCCCCCTCCAGGAAACATCCCACTCCGTCCTTCACCTGGATTAACACCCTCGTCTTCCTCTGACGTGGGAGTCCCAAGTCTCGAGCAGTTCAGAAAAGCTTGGGCCGAGAAAGCAGGTGTCAGAGTCGGAAGTTGGAGGTGAGGGGCCATCGGGCTGAAGACGGCTCAGGTGGGCTGTGAGGGGGGCGGAGATGCGGGCTGCAGCGGAAGGAAGCACTTGAGAGGCCCGTGTGACTCAACTCTGTCTCAGGATGGAGCCTCAGCCCAGAGAAGGGTGGTTTCTCAGAAGCTGAGTGTGATTATCAGGAAAGGAAGCCACAGATTCTGTTGATACTTAGTTTAAAAAAAAAAAGTCTACCGTGCGCACATCCCCCAATGTACTGTAAATCATCTCCACATTATTTGTGACAGCAGACCTGAACCCAACTCACTGCCATCGAGTCAGGTCCTACTCGGAGTGACCGGAGAATAGGGTTTCCAGGGCTGTAAATCTTTATGGGAGCAGACAGCCTCATCTTTCATCTGGAGCGGCTGGTGAGTTTTTGAACAACCAACCTTGTGGTCAGTGGCCCCACACATATCCCGCAGCATCACCAGGGCTCTCTGTAACATCTAGAGTGATGGCAGCGCTGCTGGTTAAGTGTCGGACCGCTAAGACTGCTATCCACAAGATCAGCCGTTGAAACTCGCCAGCAGCTAGCTTCTCGGGAGAAAGATGCGGCATAAAGATTCGCAATCTCTGAAACCCTACATGGGCTTTCCATGGGTCAAAATTGACTTGATGGCAGTGGGCTTGGGCTATTCTGGGTTTTGTTTGTTTGTTTTGTTTAAGTCATTTTATCGGGGGTTCTTGCAGCACTTATCACCATCCATCCATCCATTGCATCAAGCACATTGGTACATTGGTTGCCATCATCATTTTCAAAACATTTTCTTTCTACTTGAGCCCTTGGTATCAGCTCCTCATTTGGGGGGGGAGGAGGGGAGTTTGGGGTGTTTTTACAAACAAAGCAAACCAAAACTCACTGCCATTGAGTTGATTCTAACTCACAGCAACCCTGTAAGACAGTGGAACTGCTCCTGTGAATTTCTAAGACTAAATTCTTACGGGAATAGAAAACCTCATATTTTCCCCGAAGAGCAGCTTGTGGTTTCAAACTGCTGACCTTTTGATTAGCAGCCCAATACATAACTCCTGCGGCACCAAGGCTCCTGGATTATTTTTCAGTACAATGTAAATGATAGGTAGATCACCCTTCACACTCCAGCCTTCGTGGGATTGCTTTGACCACTTAATTGTCTCTCCTCCCCCAAATGTTTTTGCCCTGTGGTTGCTTAAATCTGCAGATGGGAACAGTCCGTGGGTACAGAGGGCTGAGCCTATTGGACCACCATCACAACACGATACTAAGGGACAGAGCACCTCAAAGCCTTGTGGGTCTGTGCCTACTTATGCTTCTCCTGCGACCAGGCAGTGTTGAATTTCCCTCTTTGTAACTCTCCTGCGCTGATTTCTGCGGAGCCCCTTGGTATGTGCTACTCCATCGCCATCTTGCTGGAAGCACTCACCATCATTGTTTTCTAAACGTTTACTTTCTATTGAGCCCTTGGTATCAGCTCCTTTTCCCCCTCCCTCCCCTCCCTCACCCTGGTGACCCCTTGCTAAATTAGAAATTATTTTCATATCTTACACTGACCACTGTCTCCCTTCCCCCATGGTTTCTGTTGTTCATCCCCCTGGGGGTGGTTGGGGGTGGAGTGGTGGTTGTGTGTGGATCATTGCGATCGTTTTTTTTTCCTTTTAAAAATGTTTTTCTGAACATGAAATCCAGGAGAGTTCAATCTATAAAGGGAGTAACTGGATTAATGGCTCCTTAGGGGTACGGCAGGTGAGGTTTAGGGAAAATGGGGAGCCGGTCACGATGAGTACAAGAAAGAAGAAAATGTTCTAGAACTGGTTGTGGGGGTGATTGTATGACCCTTCTGGATAGGATTGAATATTGAACTGTACAGTTTTTGAATTATATGCCAATAAAACTGTTAGAAAAACACACTTCATTTCTGGGTCTTGGCATCCGTGCCAGGGGCCGGCGGGCTGCACTGTCTTCACCCTGGAGGCTGTGCTGTAGGGCAGAAAACCCACTGCTGCCCAGCCCCTGCTGACTTGCAGCGCCTACCTCCGGGTGAAGTAGTGGGGTGGTGGTCACTAGCTGCCATGGAGTCAGTGCTGACCCCTGGTGACAAAACGCTGACCGAGCCGCTGCTGTCACCGTGTTTACACTGGAAGGTCCCCGACCCTCACTTGTTGGTAAGTGGACCAGCCTGGGAGCGCAAAGACGTGGGCCTAGGCTCTGGGTGCTGTTTGTAGGTGGCATCAAGGAGTTGGCTCCGGCTCACAGTCATCTTCTGTACAACCTCACAATCGGTGTTCTGCTGGGGCCTATGCTCGCAGCCAGGGGACAGTCTGTCTCTTTGGCCGTCTTCCAGGGAGTCCCAGGAGTCTTTCTGGCAGTCCAGAGAAACCTGAGGAGTAGAGAGGGGAAGGGGCTTGGCGAAGGTGAGCAGACGTCCCGCCTTTGGCTGGACAGTCCCGATTTTTGGAAAGAATGCACGACTAGCTAGGGAACGGTCTATTTGGTCCATATAGACCAAATTTTTAATCAAGAACCCCACCCCCCCCACCAGTCAATGGTGTCCTTGACCATGGTTGTAAATCACCACAGTGCCAGGGCTGGAGTCTCTCCATGAATCAAGCCAGCCTGACTCCCCAAAGGAGTAACAGCTTCATGTAAACAGCTGTGACAGGGCCAGCCCACACCCATTTTATAGATGAGGAAACTGAGGTTGGAAGAGCTGGTGACTTGTCTATGATCCCATAATCATTCTGCCGTGGAATTGCGGTGAGAGTGGAGCAAGCACAGATTGAAAAGCGAGGGATGATGACTCAAATTTTTACTTATTTGGGGTTTTGTACAACCTCTGCTTTCCTTCCCCCACATTCCCCCACCATTTGAAAGATGGTGTTGATGAAGAATCTGGAAAGTACCATGGACGGCCAGAAAAACAGATCTGTCTTGGAAGAAGTACAGCCAGAACGCTTCTCAGAAGCAAGGACGGCAAGCCTGTATCTCATGTCAGTAGAGAGCAGTCCCTGGGAACGGACACTGTGCTGGGTAAAGTAGAGGGGCAGCAGGAATGGGCACAG